CTGTGCGAGGCAATGCAGGCTTGCGTGAGTGAGTCAAGCTTCTGGACTTCAAGTAAGTACTCAGAAAGCTGGTGGAATCCAGGTTTCACCTGATCAACTTCACCCTCACGCCCCCAGAGCTGCGCATCGGCGTCATCGCGTGCGTCTCTTTCGTGTGGCTGGTGGTGTTGTCCTATTTGTCCCACGAGGTGGTGGACGAGAGGTGCAAGGTGTCTGTTCGTTTGCAGCTTGGAGAGAATCTCCTGGCCGAGAAGGCCAAGTGAGCGGAAAAACCCGCGAGCCAACTGTCTTTGCAATGTCCACTGCCGATCTTCCATTGAAGCATTGGGCGATATGCAGCGAATCGACACAGGTTTGCGTGCTTCCGAATGTCGCCCATGTCATCAATTCACACGGTGCCCAGTCACCATTTTCTTGGTCGTGAGGCACGGTGTGGACTTAGCAGATGGAACTTTTGATGGTTCAAAAGCACGTTTTTATCCCGGATCCTGCAGTGGTAGAGTCATGTTGGGGAGAGGCTTCAAGATGCTTGGGTTCGAAGGAGGCAGAAGGTCCCTGCAAACACTGTCGTAATGTCATAGCATTCTCGATAGATGGATTCTTGACAATCCTTGTAATCCATGCAAACGTAGAAGCTGGCGTTCCACAGTACCCACCTTGGAGGAACCCTCATAGAGGTACGAGCTGGCAGTTGCGCTGCGATTTGGAATGACTCCTGAAGCACCTCAAAACGGAATGGGGATTGTTTCCCCCGGTCAAGAGAGAGCAGCCTCCAGTTTCTAGGCCTGCATCTTTCTGTTCATGCGCGGCGCCCAGACACAGAAAAGCCCCAGGCTTGCTTGTAGACCTAACCTGGCAAACCTGACCAAAGCAATCCAGGGCTTTCTCTGGGGGTAAAAGCAGAAACACATGTTTTAAGTTAACAGCATAGTAGGCTTGCACTACACAAAGAACTTTCCCTCTCTGGGGCCTGGGCATTCGCTGAAGTCAGGAGCCGAGTCCCGTGGCCAACGCCGTTCGATGGCACAGCCCATGGCGAGGCTGGCAGTCGTTGAGGATCTCAACGACACCCTGCGGCTGGCCAGGACCCGGTGCACGACGAGAATTCCCAATGTGTAAGACACAGCGTAAATTGCCACTGGTAGAGGCGTGTATGTGCTGGACAGGTGCTGCTGAGATGGGTAGGAACAACAAGAAAGCGGCAACAAGAGCGACAGATGAGCAGATGCGCGACGGTGCCCGATCAACATCACCGGACAAGCTTAGGCTCAGAGCTAAAGCTTGTAAGACTCCAACTTATCAGGATCCAGACAGAATGAGGAAACCAAGAATGTCATTACATTTGTAATAGATGATGTCCTTATTAGATATGTGTATGCACACCAAGCCAGTTCTGGACCTTGCTGCTTGAGTTTTACAGAAGTGTAGCCTTTACCAAGCGATGGCCGCCTTGTCCCATTACCACCCATGTTGGTAGCTGTTGCTTTTGAGGAATTGAATAAGAACATATTCTATTTGTGCAAACAAATAACTTGTTATGTTATGCCCATTCTAGGTGCTTGACCATTTGTGCATGCATTGTGTTCACAACCGCCCTTGCCTGTTTGCCGAATCTGACATATACCACTACGTTGGCACTCGGGCTACTTCCACCTTGACTTGTTCTCACCAGGCTTATTTGGGAGAGAAGAAAGTGATGCCCCAGCTATTCAATCATCACAGCTAGTGCCACAACTGGAAGCACGCAGACTTGTTTAATGCTTTGTCAAACAAGATGCCCACCAAGAGCATGAAGGAGAGTAGTTTGTATTTGAGCCGCTGACGTCATCCTGACTGGCCAGAACCTTGTGGCGCTTGCCTACACGTGCAGACTCCTGGATCTCGTGAGCAAGAGGGATGCGGAGAGTGGATATGGATGTGATGTAAGCGCCCTCCCATAGCAAATTTGCTGGGGCAATTGCAACATAATGGCGACCCCGGATCACAAGAATCCCGTCCTATTAGTAGGGGATGTTCCCTCCAAAAGAGATAACCCCCCCCCCTGCACACCAAAGGGACACCCCGCGATCAACATCAACCCGGGATTACCTCATAGTGACTGGGTCTTCCGGAATTCCTAGACACATCCGTGGCTCAGCCTCCGCATGGATTCGCAGAGCTCCCTTAGCTCACAGCAATACAAGGAACATGTACTTCACATTGGAACCAGGGAGTAGCTGAGCAGCAGCGATTTTAGGGCACTCGGAACAAGTGAGGTGTTCTTTGTTGTGTTTGTGACCGGTCACTGCGAGATAAAGCCACGATACTCATCCTGGCTTGGGTTTTGATTTAGTTTGCTTTGCGCCTTATTTTGCCTGTAAACTTGTCATCAAGGAATGATACTGCACAAGGGTCAGTTGCAGGCGTGTATTCATGCTAAGAAGGTTGTCCAATGGCCCTGACATGTGCCTCGTTTGTCAACGCCAAGCTTTGCTTGCAACATATTTCGTGACTTGAGTGTTATGAATTATGACATTTCTGGCAGTGGCAAGCTGCAAGATCTTCTCAGGTACGTGGTCCCAAAGTGGGCCAGCAAGGAGGATGTGAAGAAGGTCAAGGCGCAAAAAGAGGGGCAGATCTGCAGTCACACAGCTGCAAACCTCCACTCCCCGCTTTGTCCCTGATAGCGTTCTCAGATTCTGCGTTCATTCGCTTGGATCGCTGGTTTGTCCGCCTGTTGAACCCACTCCTTGCCAGGGATGGAGCGAGCTGAACCTTGCGAGGCTGCCCAGATTGCTTGGCGTGGGTAGCTGTGGCAAGGGGTTGCTGCGTTTCTCACGGAGAATGGGTGCTGGATGGAGGGCTCTGTGTGTGTTGCTGCGAATGCGGCTTGATTGTTTCTTGAGGCTTTGCTTGACTGGCTTCGCTGCAACAACAAGCTGAACCAACAACTAGGGATAGTCGCTCAGCCCCCTTCCATCGGCATTTGGTGGCCCTTTGGGGACTCACAGTAGCCCCCCAACATGAGTCTTTTCTTGTTTGCTACGAAACAATTTGATCGCAGAGATATCTATGTAAATAGAAAGTTCTTCAGATCGTTGAAGTTGATATTTCCGTGCCCATGTTGCCAAGGTCAAGTACAAAGTGGCGGGCATCCCATTGCACTGGAAGGCCAGCCAAGACCATGTGGCAGTTGCGTGCAGTTTTTGATTCGAGCATCGCCCATCGCCCCTCCGGGAATACTCGCATTCTGGCAACAACATGCGAGTTAAAACTGTAGCAGACAGACTGTCATTTCAGCAGGGCTTTCCTGTCAAAAGAGAGTCTCCGAAGTGGCCAGCGTTGTGCAGCTTGCCATCGCAGGCTTTCAATTTCGGCTTCGTGCTGCTCCCTAAGTTCTGCCTTTGGCTGGTCGGCGTGGCCTGATTTGAAAAGAGACCGCTCCAACGGGGCAACCAACGGGTCAACCGGCCCGCCCATGAAAATAATCAATCCTCGAGCCATCACAAGCCGGACCCAGCGGAGCTAGTCACAGACCACGGCTTGTGCGGCATGTTGAGTAAATCCCAGTCCCGCATCCTGGCGTTAAAGTATTGGGCCTATCCTTTTTCGACAAAGCAACACGACAATGAGAAACAAGTGTACTTTGCGTGCTAGACTTATACTTAAACGTTGCGACTTTCGAACCGGAGCTGCAAAGCACAAATCAGTGAGAAGCAAAATGAGAATCCTGAAAGGGGGGAACCAAGTTGATCATCCCCTTTCTATACAACCCCATGGTGGGTGTGTGGGTGTGTGGTTGCGTGCGTGCGTGCGTGCGTTCGTGCGTTCGTGCGTCCGTGCAATCGTGCGTGGTTGGGTGCGTGGGTGGGTGGGTGTGTGTGTGTGTGGGTGTGTGTGTGTGTGTGTTTGTTTGTGTGTGTCTGTGTGTGTGTGTGTGTCTGTGTGTCTGTGTGTGTGTCTGTGTGTGTCTGTCTGTGTCTGTGCGTGTCTGTCTGTGTCTGTGGGTCTCTGTGTGTCTCTGTGTGTCTCTGTGGTCTCTGTGTGTCTCTGTGGTCTCTGTGTGTCTCTGTGTGTCGTGTCTCTTTGTGTGTGTCGTGTCTCTTTGTGTGTGTCGTGTCTCTTTGTGTGTGTGTGTGTGTGTCGTGTCTCTTTGTGTGTCGTGTCTCTTTGTGTGTCTCTGTGTGTCTCTGTGTCTCTCTGTGTCTCTCTGTGTCTCTTTGTGTGTCGTGTCTCTTTGTGTGTTGTGTCTCTTTGTGTGTCTCTGTGTGTCTCTGTGTGTCTCTGTGTGTCTCTGTGTGTCTCTTTGTGTCTCTGTGTGTCTCTGTGTGTCTCTGTGTGCCTTTGTGTGTCTCTGTGTGTCTCTTTGTGTCTCTCTTTGTCTCTGTGTGTCTCTCTGTGTCTCTCTGTGTCTGTGTCTGTGTCTGCGTTTGTGTCGTCTGTGTCTGCGTCTGTTTTTGTGTCTGTGTCTGTGTCTGTGTCTGTGTCCGTGTCCGTGTCCGTGTCTGTGTCTGTGTCTGTGTTGTGTGTGTGTGTGTGGGTGGGTGCGCGCGCTTGTATTTTTGTGTACTGCACAGCTGATACACGTGATACACACAGACACACAAGCAACGCGCATGCACGCACGCACCCCTTTCCCACCCACCCACACACACACACACGCACACTACACTTGCATGAGTCGTGGTGAATGCCGAGGCATCCTCAGGCGCAAACAGAACCGAAACAGAAACCGGCAACAAGAGGTACGCCACCGGCTGCATCAAAAGTGCCCACGAGCTATGGATGGCGGGCGGCCACCGACTTCGTCCGAGAAAAACAGACCCTTAGAAACAGGGGTTGCACACACACCCACACACACACACACGCCCGAAGGGGCAGACACTTCAGCATCCACCGTCATACTGGGGGAAGATTCATCCGAGATCCGATCCAGGCCTTGAAGATGGAAAACATTTCAAGCGCGCATCCGATGCTGCAATCACAAGGTGAGTAGGGACTCGAGCGGCAACCAAGCACAACTTGTTTAGAGTTTTGGGTCTCCGCGAGGAAAAGCCAAGACAACAACCCATTTAGGGTTTTGGGTCTCCGCGATCAGAAGCCAAGACAAGAAAACCGCAAACGAGAAAAACAGACAAAACCTACACAAACACGCAACACACAAACACTGGGAAAAGAAAAGCTGACTAACCGGGCCCGGAAGAGATAGCTCCAGTCCCTGAGAACTCCGCAAAGCCAAAGTAGGCGATGAAGCCACCTTGGAAGTTCATGAAGCCAAAATCGGCGGTTCCTACGGGAGCAGAAGGCGGTGATCAGTAGGGTGGTGATCCGCAAGGTGGTTGGCCAGAAAGGCGGAAAGTTCGTGGGGATGTGTCTAGGTCATCGGTGGTGATCTCATCGTTTTGGGAAACAGCCAAGGGTAGAAGTCAGGAAGGTACAAGTCCAAGGTGCGAGTCAAAGGTTTAAGTTTGCGGTACAGATTTCAGCCTTCTAAATGGGCTGGAATGTACCCGTCACAGGTCAATTAAAAATAGGTCGAGATCCAATTGCTCTTGCGGGTTCACGATCCTGGCGAGTGCTCGGAAGCAGGGCGGGGACGCACTTGCCATGAGTCGGCATGAATGCCGGAGGCACCCTGAAACGTAAACAGACAACGAAACAGAAACCGGCACCAGCTGGGGGCCGCCCCCATCAGGGTGGCCGACGTCCCACGAGTAGCCACCGAATCCGTCCGAGAGAAACTCACCAGTAGAAACAGGGGTTACACACACACAAATCCGTCTTACGCATGTCTCAGTCTGAATCCTGCCAGGCTGTGGCAAAGTCCGGGGTGCATTACTTGATGGAAACTGCCGGCATTGCGCACGCCCCAGGTATCCGAGAGCTTTCCGCTCTTTCCTAGGTGTGCGCAACGCGATCATGCTTGGCAGACTTCGGAGTTAGCAAACATTGGCGGCGGCGCAAATTCTAGCCAAAGAGCCCCAACAAATGACGAGACATGGTCAAAGTCAGGCAGCTCATTGTCCTTTCTTCGGTCCGCATGACGCGAGCGAGCGACTGAGCGACTTGGAAGTGCCACCGAGATGGATGTGATCGTCAACTCCATGGCGCTGTCCTTCGTGTTGGATGTGGATGAGATGGCGGGTGCCTCAAATCAGCGGAAAGTTTGAATTGTGTACAGTTGGGGGTTTGTGCCATGCTCAGATTGGAAGCTGAATGTGCAAGCAAGCTAAGGTTGATTTACGCTTTCTACTAGAGTCAGATCTCAAGTCAGAAGCCGATTTTCAAGGTCCAGCAACGTTGTCATGCGTTTCCTTGGAGATAGAAGTGAGGAAGGTCCAAATCCGAATGAAGCCTTGCCCAAGTTTTTTTTCTCCCAGCGCTTCAAGGTGAGGTGTTGGCATTAGTGACAGGCTCCGACACAATTGGCTCGCTGTTTCTTGTACAGGCTGTGGGTCAAAACCAATGGTACTATTTTGGGGTAGGTGCACAACCCATTATAGTCTATTTTAGAGGGGATTGGGATGTTCACTGGGGGCACGGGATTTTGACCCATGGCCAACATGGGTATGCAGGCTTCTTTCCCGTCAATCCATTTATGATTTGGACGATGGTATTGATTTGATTTGATTTGTGCCGTGCCAAGGTATTCCATCGCTTCACCAATTCGCTGACGCAACATATCATGAACAACATTGAGGAACACCGGCTTCAGGTAGTCCAGCTGCGTCGACAAAGCGGTTGGACAGGGTCATTGTTGGGGTGGACAGGGTTATAGGGATTGGCCCTGGAACAAGTTGTGAGTGCCAAAGCAGCTGGCAAAAGAATTGCCCGGCTGATGTTTGTTGGCAGACATCGGCAGCGGCACAGCTCCCAACGAGAGATCGTCGGGTGTGTTGCGGGGACAGAAGCATTTGACAGTTTGTGTTTTGCATAAGAATTTGCTCGGCCAAAATAAGTACAGTGTAAAATAGACACATGCCTGCCCGCATGAAAGATGCAAGCTGCAAAGCATGGCTCAGTGTTTCTGTAGATGTTGCCTGTCGAATGAAGATTGCAGGACCTCAGAGATGTGACATAGAGAGAGACAGAGAGAGAGAGAGAGATCTCAATGATTCTGTCAATGCATGAAATGCCTTTCAAAATTGTTATTCTGTTTACGTGTTCAATCCGAGTATCCATTTTGACACATTTCCAAACATGCTCACCTCGTTAAAATTGGCGGGAGCGGACTGGTCCTAAGCCTTGGCGGGTGGCAGGATTTGCCCAACTTCGACATCTCCACGGAGGAGTCGGAATCCGACGCTGAGGCGGAGAGCCGCCCCCAGAGTCTGGTGCCGGGAACCAGGCAGTTTACTCAAGGAGATGGCAGAGGCTTGCAGATTCAGTTGGTTCACTCCTTGGGATGCGTCCCATAGAAGGCTAACTTGGATTCAAGCAGACGTTTGCTTGAGACAAGCAGGATTTGTAGTTTTCTTTGGCATTCATTCGGGCACCTAGTGATCCATTTAATTCGCGGATGCTGCAGCAAGTTCACTGAACACACCCCCATCGCAACAGTTAGTAGTTGGAGTAGGGTTTTTTGTTCTGCCCAAGCCGACATTGCCCCCATGAGGCTGAACACAGAGACACACACTTTAGAGCCAACATGTGTTTCAATTACAACGATTGCATCGGATGTGCGCATAGGGATATATATATATATATTGTGAGTTTGCCGTTAAATGCATGGCATGCATGGCACATACGTTGTGCGCGTACACTTAAGTCTTGTAAATCTGGTCAGACGAATGCTTGAATTGTTTTCTTCACATCAGGTTGTCACATGATATGATATACAGAACACATGTGGCTTGTTGGCATGTGGTCGGTTTCTTGTACCAAAGCTCGGATATTTTTTTCATGTGTCCGATGCCTAAGACTTGGGGATTGCTTTGCACCGAAGGGTTGGACCCATAGCATCGAATCGAAAGTACCAATGTATGGTTTGCGGTGGGATGAATAATTGGTTTTTTGGGGGATGGCTTTATCGGGCTGAAAGTACTTAGACTGTGATTCATTCGCCGCAGTGAAGCAAGTGGGACCTGGTGACGTGTTATGAGTGATGAAGCCGCACTGGCCTTTGCTGCGAAGCCTGCTTCTGAGATGCAGACAATTATCACGCATCCAGTCATGCTGTCTCCGTCCCCGCGGTTTGCAAAGACAATGAGTGCATGGTTTCTTGGGGGACTCCCCCAACAAAAAAGTGTTTGTCCTGTTGGTCCCGTTAAAGCCAGCAAAAAGGACACCCACTCCAAAGAAGGAAACTCCCATCGACTGCAAAAGCCAGGCCTTGCGGCGTTTTGCCGCTGAAGAGCTGAGTGCTACTGCCCGCGCGGGCCCAAGGGGACTGGACAGTTGGAGTCGTTGCGCGCGAGCACCTGGTACTGTAAATGAAATTGAAGTTAGACACCAGATTCACCAGCAGTGTTTTTGTTGCTTGTTTTGGCGAGACGAAAGCAGAACGCCGCAGGAGTCACGCTTCTTGGAATCTGTTCATGATTCACGGTACGGTTGAATGCGAGCACTGCTGTGTTTGGATGCTAGCCAAGTCTGCGTAGTTCTTCTCAGATGTACGCCGATAGACACCAGTGTTCCAAAACCATAGGACACCGTGCTTCCCGTAGCAATCGGCAGCTATTGGTCTCAACATGGAGGAGCCTCACGTTGGAATGTTCGAGGAAACACATGCGCTGGCTTGACGTCTCACAGCCTTTGAACAGTCTAACTCCCTACGCACTCCTGGCATTTGCCTCAGACGGGCAGCCGATTCCTTGAGATGGTTTCTTTCAACTGAATCCTTCAGCAATCGCATTGAAGTGTTCCTTTGAAGGTTTGGAGCCCCTCGGCATAGCATTCTGCGGGTCCAAGAGCTTTTTCAAAATCAAGCGAACGGCCAAAAGCCTGGGACATGTGATCACTTAAAAGCAGACACTGTGGTCTATTCTCAAAGTTGATCCTATGTGCTGCAAAAGGATTGGCTCAATATGCCCAATTCCGACACAATTTAAAGCACAATGCCCACAGGATGGGTGCTGATTTGCGTGCTGGGCGTGATCAACCTCCTTGTGTCCACGGCCTTCGCTGTGGACAAGTGGCAGGCCACCAGAGGCGGCTGGCGAATTCCGCGATTTCACCTGCTGTGGGCGCTGTGGCTCGGCCCGTTTCTGGCCACTTTGTGTATGGTGGTGGTGCATCACAAGGTGCGGAAGCGTGCCTTCATGGGCTCGAGCGTGCTGGCGGGGGCTCTGCAGACGGGAGTTTTGGGCTTCGGCAGCGTGCGGCTCGCCTTCTCGTGGTCAGAGGTCACTGCGCTCTGCGGGCTCTGCGCGTTGTGGTTGGCCGCACTCGGCCTGCAGCTTCGCCGCGGTTGCGCCTGCGAACCCTCCACCGTCCACGTGCGAGACGTGCGCGGCGGCTCAGCGGTATAGTCCGGATGACTGACCGGACCAGAGACGTATGGGCCATGAGGTGACCACAGCACCTTTCTGCTGAAGTGGGTTGCGTTGCTTGCTGGAATCCTGCAGAGTGCCTTCGTCTACCTCATTGAGCTCCTGGGAGCTCTCTCGAGCCGTATGCACACCGCCTGCAATTGGCAAACAAGAAGCTGCAGTGGATCCCTGGCGAGTGACTTTGGACCATGGGAAGACCCGATGCATCATGCGGGAGTGCAGCCTTGTAAAACATGTGCGCAGATGAGCCCAACCCTTGCCTGTCAGTTTCTCACAACAGGGATATGTGTCTTGCTTCCTCATGAACTGCAAACAAGGTGAAATGTCTGAAGGGGGAGTTGTTACGCGTTAACATCTATTTTAAGAGTGAATCATGCCCTGCAAGCTGTTACTTGAGGCTGTGATAGTTTAAGCGGCCTCACGGCAGCACTACGGCTACAAATGTGTGATCCAAGGTATGTAACAGATCCGTGGCGCCGCAGACCTTCGTTACATGTCTCGGTCCATGCTATGTAGCGAGACGGCCTGGATTGTTGGATTCCCTTTCGTTGCATTTGCAGATTGCATCGTCCTGACGAGTCTTACTGCCAACGCTCTGCCGCGATTCAGAACAGCGCCATCAATCATGTGAAAACATATCGGCTTCAAGCCAACCCTCCTCCCAATGTTTGGACCTTCCAATTTACCAGGGCCCACCGATGACCAAACCCAACAATTCTTAGACCTGAGGTTAAGGTTAAGTAAGAACTCCTTAGAACCCCTGAGAACCGCCTTGAGATTCAAAGCCTGAGGGAAGGGAGAGCGACGGAACAGGATCTACTGACTGCTGCTGCTAATGCTTATTGTTTGATCTCTCACATTGAACATGGCGTGGGCGGCGTTCTTACCTTTTCGGAGAAAGCGTGCCAGCTTGAACCATGCGCTGTCAGCATTGCACGCGTCTGCTCAAATCGAGGGACCCCCTTTTGGATCGTGCATGCACGGACATCAAACAAATTCCAGCCACACACACTGGTTTCCAAAGATACAGGGCAAAAAGTCATTGCAAGGTCGTATAAGGTCGTAGCCTAGTACGCTTTCAAAAAAAGTGACATGCAGCGCGTTGCTTGATTGCCTTATGCACGCAACTCACAATATCCTTTCAACAACAGCCCTTTGCACCTCAACAACATCTCGGCTCCAGCCAGAACCAAAAGCTGCGTGTGCCAGCGCGGATGGCCCCACCGCCCCAAGGCTGGACCAAGCTGTTCAAGGTCATTCCCTGGCGGATGGTGTTCGTTGTGGGACTGCAGGCGGGTTGGCTTGTTGACCAAATGTGTGGAGATCGTGGACCTGAGCAGCGGTGAATGACAGATCTAAGGCAAAGTTACATCATGCTTCCTATGTGCTGCAGAAATAGCAGCTAGGAAAACGGAACGGGTCTTAGCAACGAAGACAACGGTCCAAAAGGATATTGTATCATGAGGGAGGATTTGGGTGGGATTTGTTCGAGCTATCATGGAAGTATGCCACTGGCATGATGGCCCACGAAGCCACTTGTGCGAAAGACCAACCGACACAATTCCATTTGCAGACTGGCTTCTGGGAAAATACCAGTGTGGGAAGTGTGGAAAGACTGCAGATTGTGCCATTGTGAAAGGCTTGCGCAACTGGAAGTATCAAGAAGACTTGCTGAGCGTTAGCGAAACGCACAGGTGTCAATAATATGCTTGGCTATGTTGGAAGGCCTGCACGCTCACTAGAACAAGTCAGAACCAGAAGAGCCAATAGTATTTTGCTACGTCAGCCTGACAGACATGTGTCGCACCTTAGTGTTGAGAGCAACAACAGCAACAGCATTGGAAAGAATGGATTATCAGCACGGAAAACCGGTTGTGTGAGCTTCTCGGCACCCAAGGAAATGTGACTTCCCTGTTTGATTAATGAATGTTGTTTCCAGCACTCTGCAGGTCGAATGTCAAGGCTGTTTGTCACAGCGTTCCCTTGAACAAGGTGTCCACGTGTGTGCGTTGCTATTCGTCCGCGCATTTATGCTTGTTTGAAATATTGGATTGCCCGCAAGATACAAATGACGCTTTTGTCCATGAGCCTGCGAAGCGATTCGCTGTCCTGGTTAAGATGCCGAAATGATTAAATCTTAAAGGCAGTTTAGCAAGGCGCCTTTACATATTTTTAGCCCAGGGCCAAACAATGGCCTCAAGTTGTCGCCGGGACGGAAGGCGTCTGGCATGGCGTGCTGAGGTACTTTTCATGTGGGACTACTACCGCATGCACTGTCAGAAGCTGGAGGACTCGCTCGAGCGTTTCGACACTCGAAGTGATGGGCTGGATTTGCCACAGCCCAACAGGTGTCTCAAGTTCTGGAGTTGGTACCCCTTTTTTCATGTTTTTTCATGGTTTGAAAGGGACACCAAAAGGATAACCGCCTTTTTTTTGGGGGGGGGTCCGATTCCCAAAAAGGGAGGCACCCACAAGTTGGACCTTACCAACGGCTTCTACAAGTTTTGCTAGGTGTGCCTTCGATTGTGCTTGAAGGATACTGAAGGCCGGTGAAGGCAAAGCGTCAATGATTCACGGAGCCTTAGAAGGCTCGGCCTCGGCTGAGGAGGGCAGGCTCGAGGAATGCAATGTTGAGGGAAGCACCCCATTCATTCATGATTTAGGATGATGACCGGCACTAGAGGTAGCAGTTGGCCCGAAGATGCAATGACCATAAACAACAGTATAATCCTTGTCATGCTGAGTTTCGAATCTGCATAGATGCTGTGCAAGCAAGGAGCTAGCAAGTCACTAGACCTTTCCGAATGTGCGATGTCTGCAAAGTGATCCACCCCTTCTTGGAGTATGCCTGTTTTCCACGTGTCAGGATTTTTGTTAGACCCCCAAGATGGGTGGTGTTCCTTTGGTTTCCCAAAGCAGGCCAAGGGGGGGGTACCAACTCCAAAAAAACGACAGACCAACTCCATGGCTTTCTCTCCAGTCGCGTCGCAGGATGGGAGCTGGGTCTCAAAGGAGCTCAGAACGCCCAAGGAGAGACGCGGCGCTTCGAGACGACCCAATTGAGTGTCTTTTTGTGGGTCCAGAAGCCCTTCGCAATATGGGTGTCATTTTTTGAGGGCACCCTTTTTGTGGTTTTACAGGGGACTAGGAATCTCGCCATTTTTCGGTGTCCCCTATTTTAAGGTGCCCCCCATTTTCAGGTGAACCGCTTGTTTGAACACGGCACGGGGCACTGGTGGCTTTTTGCTCCGGCACCTTATGACAGGACCAAGCGTGGTGGGAGTGGCCGTTTGATCAAAGCCAACTCCAATCAGAGTGCGCTATGAATTTTGTCCCGCAGACTTTTTGTTAATGTTGAAACGCATGTGGAAACATGAACTGTGTTTGAAATGCTTGACCATAATGGCCCCGGCCATTTTGGCTCAAGCCTGGATATTGGGTTCTCTGAACCCAACTTTGTGGAAAAACTTGAAAGGTAGCACTTCCGAAACAACCCCGAACCAGCAATGGCCTCCTCAGCAACTTCGGCAACGTCCTTTGAGTTGATTGAGGACCAGGCACTCACCGCGGAGGAGGTGGAAATGGCCAGCCAGGAGGCCCAGGAAGCCCGCACACGCGAGGCGGCTGTGGCGGCCGGCCTGGTGTTGGATGAGCCCGAGGCGCCCCCGTCGGCATCGGCCACCGATGTGATGAACGACCTCTCCAGTGCACTGGAGCGACTCCGCGTGGCCTTCTCCACACCGACTCCCGGCCTGGGTGCCCCTGGCCCCGCCGAGGACGAGGACACGGAGATGAGCGATGCGGTCACCACGGAGCGGGCTACTCCACCAACGAAGAGGCTGAAGGGCTTTGTGGCGGCCTCCCAGAAGACCACGACCCCGGTGAACAAACCGGTCTCCCTGGTACCGGTGGATGGCCGTCCTGGCTATTTCAAGCTAGTGGACCTCCCAGACCTCTTCCCGGTCCTTCCGGCATCGGCGGCCACGTTGTTGAGGGACGTCACGGTGGAGGAGGCGGTCTCCCTGTTCCACAAGTTTGTCGGTAAGAATCTCACGGAGGACTTGGTGGTCCGCATCCTGGAGGCCTATGTTCCGATGAAGATCCAGATCCGGCAGGAGGAGGTCTGGGCCTCACAGTTCCAGCGGAATAAGGCATGCATTGGCACCCAGCGGATGCACAGACTCGATGCCGGCCAATCGGACTACAAATTCATGTGTAAGGCATGCGGCACGGGATGGCCGGAGGCAGCCAATCAATGCTGGGTCTGCCCGGGCAAGGAGTTTGTCCCCTTCCAGGCACCCTCTGCGACCTACGAGGCGGACGGCGTCACGTACAACCTGCTCACTGTGGAGGGCAAGCCGACCTGGATCCAGCAGCGGGATGGGGGAAGCCTGGGTGCCTCTGGCCCCGGTGGTACCCGGGCGCAGGCAGACCGCAACCTGGTGGACGGCACGATCCTGGGGAGAGCTCCTCCGAAAACGGACACGGCAGAGGAGATCACCATGACTGATGTCCCGCTTAACAGGCGGGTGGATATCCGGCAGGAGATCCTGTCCATGGAGGCGGACGATGAGGCGTTGAAGGTCCGGGAGCGCCAAGGTCAAGGTGCAGCGGTCCTTGCAGGAGGCAGAGGCTCAGAGCTTCCAGCTCTACCACCCCCAGGTGGACCAGGCGATTCGGAAGAAGGAAGAGCTGCACAAGGCCTTGAGGGAGCACCAGGAACCGACCCCGGAGGAGTCATCGGCCAGGCAGCGGCACAAGGAGCTGATCACGGATGAAATGCTGGACAATGAGATGGCAATCCTGGCGCCTCTCCAGGAGGGCATGCAGGCCCTGCCGGCAGAGGAGGTGGCCAACGAGGGAGCCCGGGCCCTCAGGAAGGTCAACCTGGGAGGGTAAGGGTGTCGACGCCAGCCAGGCACTGGCTGATGCGATGGGCTCCATTCAGGAGGCGCAGGAGGCGAACAAGCGCACCCAGGACACCAACCAGGCATGGATGCTTAACCACACCAGCCCTTGGAGGTGTCGGCATGGCCAGATGATCTCAGGCTCTGGAGAGGGGGCTGTTCTGCCCCCTGGAGCTGGATGACCCCGAGGACATCCCCAACGTGGGGACATCAAGGAGAAGTACGTCCCCTACATCCGGAGAGGCACAGAACCCGTGGAACCAGGAGGCGTTGCTGGAGGAGATGCCCGATCTGGCGACGCCGGCCCCCCCCAATATTGCCACTGGCCTTGGAGGGGACCAGCCAATGCCACCGCAGGACGGAGGAGGGGAAGCTGTCCCTGCTCCTCTGGGCGATGAAGAGGCACCAAGGGGAGCTGCGGATGTTTGGGGGAATCTGGAAGAAGCATTCCAGCGGCGAAATCCCCAAGGGCGCGGACCAGCAATTCAAGCTCTCGCCGGAGGAGCTCCTGGCCCTGGAGCGCAGGACCCACCCACTCACGTGTGAGCGGGACCACATCGACCCGATCATCTACTCGGCCTTGGAGATCCGAGCGCAGGTGAACCGGGGTGAGCGCCCGGCGCCGGTCGTGAAGACGCAGCGACGGGGCCGCAATGCGGAGGGCTCGACTTCGGATAAGTGGATGGGGAACATCCTCCAGATGCGGAAGGAGGCGGTCCCCTTCCTGGAGAGCCTGGGAATCCCCAAGCCGCGCACTAAGGCGGAATGGAGCTACATCTTTAAGGAGATGGGGACGTTTCTGGCAGCCAAGAACTTCATCGTCAATTGCCCGTTGCCGGTGATGGAGCTCCCAGTGGCCCCTGTCCACGACAGCAAGGAGGCCCTGCGTTTCAGGGCGGTCTGTGACGAGCGCATCACGCTCCCGCTGTCATCGTTGAGGGCTTTTGACTCGGTGTACACCAAACTGGTGGCAGGCCTGAGTAAGTCCTCCATGGTGGAGATCAAGGTCAACTGGCGGTGCAACGTTGTCCATGACTGGGTGGAGCCGGTCCCGCAAGAGGCGGCGGGGGCCCTGTACGACCGTCTGGGCTACTCCCAGGACCTGATCATGCAGCTGGGCTGCTCCCCCCCCTTGGGTGCCTCCGGCCCCGGGGGCGGGGCGGCCAAGGAATCGGACCCCAAGGCCAAGATTCTGGCGGGAGCGGACACCACGCTCCGCACGCCGGACCAGGGCACCAGAAGGTACCCCCCGATCACCACGTCCACGGTCACGGCAGTCGCGGGCAAGAAGTACACCAACAAGCACTTCCGGGAACCAAGCACGTGTTCTGGGCCTCGGTGGAGTGCGGCCTGGTCCTGCCCAGCATCAGCGCATGGGAAGTGGTGGGCAAGGAGAAGTTCAAGACCACCGGGGGCTACATGTGCAGGTTCTGCAAGGGCTTCTGGAAGGCGAGCCGTGGGGGGACCCGGCTGCTCCAGATTACGGGGTGGCACAAGGACAAGGCCACCTGCCTGCAGCTGGTGATGGACGAGCCCCCGGAGCAGCTATATAACCAGTGGATCCGGGACAGGATGGAGTTCTACAAGCGGGTGGAGCCGACGGAGCCCCCCAGGGACGAGCGGCTAGTCCTTGGAGATGCGAGCACCCCGCGCATGCGCTTCAGCTCTTCGAACGGCCTGGGGGATCCTGTGGTCGGTCATCCTGAGCAACCCGGAGAAGTCAGGGCTGGCGGCCATCCACTCGGTGGCAAAGGAGGCGATCTTGAAGGGTGAGAGCCGCTAGGTCGTGTCTCACTGCCCTTTGGATGTGGCGTAGTCTGTTCTTCCCCACCGGGACTTGGGTGCCTCTGGCCCCGTCTTGGGTGGGGGGAGGTTTTGGGGTGTTTTCCCTTCTTTTGGGGTTCCTTGTTCACCTTGGTTTCCCCCCTGTCTCAACACGCCACGACTGCCGGTTGCCTCGAACCGGAGGCTGCGCAATTCGGTTGCCCCAAGGACGGGCCGTATCGGCCACTGTTTGAAGAAAGTGGCTGCGGCCGACTCTGGGTTCCCTGAGGTTGTCTGGGGGTTTTGGGGAATCCCCCGTTGGGCTGGTCTTCCCCTCCGTGGTTCCTGGGGTGACTTTTGGGCCCTGTTGGGCTGCGTGTGGCCTGCCTGCCCCATGTGCATCCGGCATACTGTGGGGTTGAAACTTTCGTGCAGTTTGCCGCGGCTGGGTCCCGGCCGTTCGATAGGAGGCTCGAACCCTTGTTTTCAGCATGGCCAGGGTCTCTACACGGTTTCTGTTGCGCCCGCCTTACACTCGTCTTTGGGACCGGATCCCAAGGGTCTTTGGGACACGCTGGCGGATGAGTCTATCTCCCCGAGACAGACGGACGGGGAGCTGCTGGTCCTGATGTGCCTGCGCCATGGCACGGCGGAGGAGGGGAGGCAGCTGGGCGGGGAGCCAGCCCTCCGATTCGCTAAGCTCCTGGAACTCTCGGGCATCGGTGGACCAGACGGACCAAGTGGTACCAACTGACTACTTCAACGGCCTGGTGGCGTCGGCGGCGGGCAGGCTTCCCCAGCCCTTGTCCGCGGGGGACCTGGCCGACCTTTGGGATAGCCTATGGCTCCTCCTCATGGCGGCTGCGGACGGCAAGCTCAGCGAGAACTTTTCCCCGCTGGAAAATGAGTGGGACCGCCAGGACCAACTGAGGTGGTTCTCGCGAGATGACCCACCCCCACTACAACAGCCGGAGCTTCTGAAGTGGCGGCATTGGAGGCCCGGGAAGATCAGGGAAATGGAACCCACGACTCAGCGTGCACTGGAACTCCATATGCGCGGGAAATGGGCGGAACGGCTCCTTGCCCACTTCGCCCCCTTTGCTGAGCACATCGCGTACATGCAGGACATCCTGGGGGAGGACTTCCGCAAGGAAGCACTGGACCTCTTGGGGGATAGCAGGTTCCGGACGCTCAGGCAGCACTGCCTGGTCTACGAGAGTCTCCGCAAGAGAGGCTTCACCGTCATCCCATGGCAGGAACGACATGTCCGTTCTCTCCTCAACCAGCTCGCCGATGAGGAGGTCACCCCGTGCAAGTTGCGGCAGGTGTGGAACACCCTCAAGTGGTTTTCCAAGACCT